TTTTTTCAATCCAATTCTATTATTATTAAATTAGTGAACTACCACACCCAAAAGATTTCGGATAGTAATATTGACGTCATTGATGTGCTTGATGAAATAATGCGTAATATGCATAGTTATCAAAACATTGCTTTTTCGGCACTGGACTTAATGCAGTAATAATATTTTTAGCTTATTATACAACAAAATCATGCTTGCATTTAAATAAATAAGTGACAGTGTGTATTAGTTTAATAATCTAACATTGACTTGCACTATAAAATAATTTAATTGAAAGATCTTCCCTCTATTATATAATATGGATCTAGCTGCAAGAAACTAAGTGGCTTCATTAAGTGGGTCTAGTTGGTACGATAAAATTCTGATTGTTTACCCGTATTAACTGAAAACAGTTAATGACCCGTTTTTCTCACAATTGATAGTTTCATAACATCAATTATCAACTGATTTACCAGCTCGATACCATCTTATTTATTGTTATTTGACTGTTTTGTTTGAATATGGTGAAATAACGGTTAAATAAATTGCAATTTAACAATTTTTGCTGGGTGACAGGGTATAGAAATAATATATGATTATAAACACGTTTTAATACTAACGTTTAAATAGTTCATTATCAACGAAGTATCATTCTTATACGTCATTAAGATAAATCTTAAGTTTTAAAGCATGCATTGCCTTTTAAGTTAACCTCACAATTATCGAAAGGAACACAAATTAGAATTTTTTATAAAAATAAATAAGTAAAAATAGTTTTATGTACTTATAATACTAAAACATTTCTTAAAAATTTAATTTAAGATAATATTATGTCTTGCTTTTAAAATTTCATATTATTGTTTTATTAAATGTAATAAAGAAGATGTTAGCATCATTAGGACAACTATTAAGACTTTATAAAAATTTCTAAATGCTTTAAAATGAAATTATACTTTGAAGAATGAATTTAAAGAACTAAATATTTACTTTTGTTTCAAGTATTTTTTGATTAATTTTTAAAATAATGGATATGAAATAAGTGCGTTCAGAAATTCATTTAGTAATTTTTTCTCTGCTTTGAAAGAACAATAAGCACTTTGAAAATATATTTCTTTGACAACGATGTCAAAATATTTACATTAACAATATTAATTTAATGAAAAACGCATCAAGTTTTGAAAGTCATTAAAATCCACGTAATATACATCTGCTGGAAGGTAAGTGGTTTTGTCGAGTCTTCATTAAAATCTTAATGGAAACGCAGTACAAGAATTTCATTTAATCTCTGAACTACGAAAAATTAAATCAATATTTTTTTTATTCTTTCTTAGATTTTGAGCAAACATAAAAATTTTAAGAAAATTACTGAAAATTAAGTAGAATTGTTTTATTATATGATTCATTATATGTAACAAACCTCTGAATAATTAATACAAATAAATTACTTCATATAAGTATTATTTATGAGTCATAGTCATAATGAAAGAACTGTTATATCTTCAAAATAAAGAAGGGTTTTCGTTGATTCAATTTGTTTTTAGAATATTTATATTAGAATATTTATATTAAAATAATTATATTTTTTTGATTTTTCATACATTATTTTAGTTTAGTTTATAACGTAAAAAGTGAACTGTCAGCATTGTTGTATCACGGGTTTTTCTTAGAACAATAAAAAATAAAGATAAGTAGGCATTATTAATTCAAATAGCTTTAAAATGAATTTGATTAAATGTTTGAAAATATGGTGAATGTCACAGAGAACATATTTAACACGAATTTGGAAGTTTAAATTTCTCTATTTGTTAGGTGTCAATTCAATAAAAATATACCACCACTTAAGGTGCCAGTACATCTTACCTTAAAACTTTAAGGAATAAAAAATGTGATAAACTGTAATTTTTTCTATGATATTTACTCTATCATTGGAAATAACAAAAATATTACTGTAAAAATCACGATATCAAGTTTTGCATTAAAATGAAATGGATTTTCTAGTAAAAGGAATTTTACGCTTTTTTCATTAAGGGTAATGGCAATTTCAACGGTATTTTTTTATTGCGATCCAATGATTCCAAAATAATTAGGGAATATTTTCTTACATGAAGTTTTGATAGGAGTGCAATAAAACACAAAATATCCATACTAAGTCTAGTTGAATCACCGGATTGATTAACTTTCTACAAATTTTTGCCATTTCAACTAATACATAACAGCTTAAATTATAAAGATTGGGCTACTCAAAGTAAAACTAGTTAATTTTTATTTAAAAGAATTTGTAATGATTGTAAAATGCAAAATATTTTAAAAGCAAAATATTTTAAAAGCAAAATATTGCTTTAAAAATATTTTGCAAAATATTGAAAATATTTAAATTGCAAAATATTTTAAAAGATATTCCAATCTTTTCAAATTCTCGAATTAAGTCAAAGCCAGATGAAGCAGATGAAATAAAGTCCCACATTCATTTTCTTTCTCACTATATGTTCATAAGAACTCAAGAAGCAATTAAAACGTACCAAATGTTTAATTGTAGCCTTGGCGACAAAAGCATTTCTTACACTATATTAAGAATGCCAATGTCAATAGAACAATTGAACATCAAATACTATTGAATATATTCAGTTTGCACCCATAATTTTTATTTACGCCTTATATGCCAAGGTTTCTAAAACAATTAGGGAACTACTCTACAGTAACACAAAATATGCAATAATTTTTCTTTCCTTCAAGTAAATATCATAATTTCGTTCTTTTTTTCTTAACTTAGTGTGTGACTTTTTTATTTCTCAGTAAATATAGCCTTGCCTTGTTCTAAAAACTATAGTGGAAAACAATCTGACCCACCATTTTATTTTTTCTCACACTTTAACTATTTCTGGCTCTTTGCATTGGTTTAAACACAAATTAAACAGCACTAGAAAATTCGCATCCCATTTTTTTTAAATAATAAATCAAATTTTCTTTGAGCTATATAGTAAACATAAAAATTTCTCCGAAAAACTTAGTATTATTATAATTACTTATAGAAACTAATAACACTATAATTAGTAACACGATAATTACTTATAGAATAATCTATTACTTCTCGTGGTCTTCCTCTCCATGTAACGCAAATGCGGGTTAGCTCCATCAAAAAGTCCTCCAAGAAGGAAAATTTCTACGAATACTTGATCCAGAACTTCCCTTGTCTTCTGGATTTAGTTCAAAATTACAAGACTACGTAGTTGGACATTAGTAGTCGTAAACCCAAAAATTGGGTCGGATTTTCAACGACGGTTATAAAATATAAAAAAAAGTAAGGCAGTCAGAACCTATATATAATGAAGGCCCGAGGTTTGACAATAAAAATGGGAAAGCAAGCACTGGAAGAATTGCAGGTGGGTGTGTAAAGACCATGCATAATAAGACAGCGCAAGAAAAAAACCTCCTACTGATATTTCTATGACAATTGGAGTCTGTCATTATCTATTACAGCAAGGCAGTCGGAACCTATCAATACTGAAGGCTCAAATTTTGATAAAATAAAAAAAAACAGGAAATTAAACTCTACAAGAATAGCCGGTGAGTGTAAAGACCAGGTATAATAGGATAGTACAAGAAATCCTCTCCTGATATTTCTATGGCAATAGGAGTTTTGTAAACTTTTCTTACGGTCTAAAATATGATGTATTAATTTCAGCAATGTACCATGTTAAAAAGCAATAGCAATAGCATAAAGCAATTATTTTAATGCCTCATTCAATATTAATTCTACAAAAAAATTTAAATAACTCAGAAAAAAATTGCTAAAACTATAGATCGTATTTCTTTCCTTTGGAAACCATAAGTTATGCATAGCGCTAGAAAAATAAATCCAAGACATATTTTAACTTTTAAAGTCTGTTTCGTTTGTGAACAACCCTGAAAGATAAAAGGGGCAGAATAAAAACCTTCTTACACCTCGCAGCTTTTCAATTCAGTCTACTTTTCAACGAACTATCCAAACTGAAGGCTCAAAGTATGAAAAGTACGGAAAAGTAAGCGCTGCAAAAATCTCAGGTGGATGTGGCAGCTCGTTTAAAACCCGTAAAAAGGTAAAATATTCGGACGAATAAATGCGCTAGAAATTGAGAAGAGTTTAAGGAAAGATTTTCGAAGCTTAAAAAATGCGGTTTTATGGCAGCTTTTTTTGGCAAAATTTAAAGAAGATTAGATCGCCGTCGAAGATTGAACATTTTTGCCCCACGCGAAATTGTGAATCATGCATATTTAAGATTTTTTTCTGTTCCAATATATCTTATCTATTACTTCCATAAATTTTTGAAAAGTAATTTTTAGCTTTAGATGTCACTTAGGAAGCGCCAAAGCAGTAATTTAGGATGTGATTACTTACTGTTAACGACTTGATTTCTTTTCCTTCAGGAGTTATTGAGCAATTTTTAATACTATTAAAGCATAATCCCTAAAAGTAAAGTAGAAATACCAATGAGCTAGTAAAAATAATTTCATAGCATTACTTGAAATTTTTTTCCGTTTTAAAAATATTTTAAGTATCATTCAACTTATCTGAGAATGTATCAATATAAATTAATTTGTTACATAAATAGTTTTGGTATCATAAAAAATCAGGGTTTAGGACGAACAATGGAAGAAAAAAGTTGATATGATTGTTATACAAAATAAATATCGTATGATATACTTTATTATTTGTTTTAGCTTAAAATGTGGGAAATATCAAACATAAATCATTATTTGTTCATTCTAAAATTAGATATTACAGAAGATTATAGATGTAATTTTTTACTAATACCAATCTCAATTATTATTATTCAATATTTTTATCGAATTGGATTATTTGATAAAAAGGAATATTATTTTAGAACCAGCTTCAAAGAATTAAATTTATTTGTAAAGGAAAAATAGAATTTATTAAAGCTATAAATAATTTCAAACAAACCCAGGAAAGACTAATTTTCAAAATAATTACTTTGATCTCAAATTATTGATTGAATACCCTTTGAACGATTTTTTGATTTACAGAATATGTGAAGATTCATTTTTATTTCATAATGTCTTCGCATGTTTTGTTAAACGAAATTTATTTGAAGAGTGGCAGCGCGGAGTGATTACATTTTGGTTGGTTCCACAATAATTTATTATTTTGATCTGGCTGTACAAATTTCTCTAATGCTCCATTCTGCTGGCAACGCTAACTTACAACTGCTAATTTGACACGTTTGTCTACTTATATTTTAAACAGGCTTTTGAATGGATGTTTCTATTTAGTGAGTTTGTTGATATTTTTACCTGCATACTTTCTTAGTTGTTTGATTATAAATTGTTTTGCTTTTCATAATTGGAATGCGAGTTTATTTCCTCTAGATTTTATATATATACTTTCTTAAATGGGACTTTAGGATAAGAATAACATTTTTGTGACTTTTTTGCTTTACATATATTCCGAGGAATTCACCCTATTAGGCTCATATAAATTATTTTATATCAACTCCTTATTATGCTATTATTTAAAATGAATCACATCCTTGTTCTCGGAACAAACTAGAATGAGTTAGTTTTTTTTAACAATCTTATATCATTTAAATCTTAAATTATAAGCTATAATCACAAATGGAAATATGACTGTGTAGTCTAAATATTCAAATAAAGACTATGTAGAATACAAGTTACTATTAGTTTTATTTATAGATAAGAGTAAAGATTTATTCGACCCACTTCGATAAAAGCCACATTTGAAATGTAATTAAGTGGGATTGTTAGACAACAAATGAGTTAATTAGGCTTTCTACTGAAATGAATCACATAGAAAATTTTGAATGAATAATTCGTATCAGCACTCAAGCTTTTCTAATTTTCCCCGAAGATAAACGTGGACCTTGAAATAAATATTCCTAATTAAAACTTTTAAACTAAAACTCTGGTTAATATCTTAAGGCAATATATCTCGTTCATACTTACATAATTGAAAAAAAAATAAACAAAACATTTCTGTTCAAAACAACCAAACATCGAGCAATCTGCGTAAATTTTATAAAATATTCACTTCTAAAACTTCTTCACTGTTCTGATAAAACTCGTATGTCTTTAGAAAAACAACTATGTTCTATGTTCTTTGTAATACGGTAAAACTCGTTTTTCTTTTCTTTTTTTTTTTGAAAAACTACATGAAGTTTAGGGAAAAAAACATAAAAAAAGGTTATAAGGTCTCCAAAAAGAAACTAAGTTTTTTTTCAAAACATTTTTTGTTAAGTTGCAACATTATTATTATTTTAGATTTGTTTGCAGAATATTTTGCGTTACGTTAAAATTGACCAAAAAAATTTTTTTGAAAAATAATAAAACATAAACTTGTGATTTATTTAAAAAAAACATTATTGAAAGAACATTTTCAAAAAATTTACCTTATTGTTTTTCAAATAAAACACTATTTTATAGACAAACTCAAAACTGAATAAACTGTTTTTTTTCCCCTGGATCATGCGAAAATTTTTATGCTTCACTTACTGTTTATTTTGTTTTATCAGTTTTCCGAAATATATTGATTAATAAAGAGAACAAACAATGTATCTCCAGTAACGTTTACATTTTTATTTTTGAACAAACTCTCAAAGAATTATGAAATGAAAAAAATTAACTCTGAAACTGAAACATAAGCAGAAAAAATGTTTGCTTTCGAGAAATTTTAAATAATCCCTCCCTATCTTTAATAAAATTGTAAAAAGCGATTTATTAGTGATTTGAATTCATTCCTGTTTATTTTTCGAAACTGTTACTCAAGCTTGCTTACAGAACTGAAAATATTATTACTTTTAACTTATTTTATGGTTTCTAATAAAATTAAGTCAAAACCTGCTTAATCATACAAGTGAATGCGCCTTTTATGTTGAATGATTCAACATAAAGTCGTTATATCTTACAAACATTTTTGCTTAAGACACTGTTTTAAACATCAATTGTTTTTATTCGATATTTTGGACGAGTTTGACAAATATTTTTCCTCAAATGTTTAAAAACTTTGACTTTTTATTAGTAACTTTTTATGGTTGGTAGAAATTATTTGTATGAATAATGTACATTTGCTTGAATAATGCTCGTACATATACTAAACTACATGTTTGAAGAAACAAGATTCGAGTGAAAAAAACAACGAGTCAGAAATCTTGAGTTTGACAAACCACTAGAGCGGGCAAAAAGACGAAAGTGATTCAGAAGGGAAATTTTGTTTTTATAGTTTGTTAAAACCAAATGTTTTTCCTTTTTATTGGCCTGTTTATTTCGTTATTTTAAAATTTATTTTCGGACATTAGAAAATAAATTACATCTTAATTGTAAGTGTTGTTAAGGTATTTTCACTCATTTATGCAAGTAATTCTGAAAGGTTATTTGATGACTAATTGAATATATAAGACAGACCGCGGTTAGGCTTGTGTGAGACACATCGGTATCTTGGGAGAAAATCTGGCCTCGAATGATCCTGATGTTTCGAGCAAGGTGAGCTCTATTTCTAATTGGATGTAATATCTCATTATTTTTAATATCAGACCTATTTCCTAATTATTTTTAATTCGAAAAGAATGGTCTTTTTCCAAACCATCAAATCTTACGATTCTGTTGTGTTACTTCTTGCATTTTTACAAGCCTTGTTGTACACAGAAAAATTTTACTTTTTTTTTCCTTAGTACTTTTTTTTAAATTCTTATTTAGTGTCTTGCTTTCTTATTTAGTGTCTTACATCAGTGTTATCGACTATATAGCCCTTGTTGCATGGTTTCTCAATAGGTGTAAGACAAAAGTTAGCAAATTTCTGTTTAACCATTCCTATTTAGAGTTCACATGAAGTATCACTGTTTTGGACCTTAGGGTAGCAGGCACATATAAGGTGTGAATGGATAGTCGGCCTAAATTATTAAATTTTAGCTTTAGTAATATTTAAATTTTTGTTTCAGTACTTTTATTTTATTCTTATTTAGAGTCTTACACATCAGTGTTATCGACTATAGGGATCTCCGTAACACTGTCTCCTAATATGTGTATGACTAGAGTTAGTCAATTCCTCCTTAACAATCCTTTTTTAGAGCTCACAAGAAGTATCACTGTTCTGGGCCTTAGAGTAGCAGGCACATATAAGCTGTGACTGGATAGTCGGCCTAAATTACAGAATTTAGTTTTAGCATTATTTTACTTTTTATCTTTACTTTAAAAATAGATCCGTTCTCTCTAGAGGCACCATTGGAGTTATTTTGATAAATATAAATTTTTTTCATTTCTTATATTTTTGAAAATACACATAAGCTTTTAAGTTCATATTTTTGATTTCATTATTGCGTTTATATAAAAAACTACAAGTTATCAAAATTCCACGCGAGATATTCATAGACTTTAGAATAAAGACAGTATCAAACACCATAAGGACTCTTATCCGTTATTGCAAAAAATATCAGAATTGTACTACGGCAAGTTAGAGCAATATTTTTAAAGCAGAAATGCTAAAAGATGCCAAAATAAAACCTTTATCTCACTTTTTTACCAGTGGTGCTATTTTATCAAATAAATTCTACTAATTCATCATTATTCTGAATCATTAAAGGCCCAAAACGGAACCAATCTTTCTCTATTTCTAAAAGCTGCAAGTTTTTAGAGCTACAGTCTCTTTGTTTTATTTCAATTTAACACTGATTAATCTTATTGGTGTGGCTGCGGCAAACTTGGGCGTTGTTATCGCAACCTATAGCTTTGTGATCGCAGCAAACTTTTTCAATTATTCTATCGACTTCAAGATCTTAATTTTTTTTTTTACATTTCTTTTTTTTTAAACTTTATATCCTAAATCAGGATGACCTTATCGCATGATTAGATAATTCACCTTCGGGGCCTGAAAGCCTTGAGCAATCTCATACTACTACTATGCTTGCAAGAAAGTGCAGCTGAGTTATTTCACAAAAGGTAGAATATTTTCGTTTAATATGTTTTCCAAAAGTTATGTATATAAATCATAGAGATCCGAAAGATATTTCAGAATTTAATTGATCGAAATTTGACCATAAAATCCTTTTCTCGATAAAATAATGGTAGTTATTCTGTTTGTATCGATCGGTGAAATGTTGAAACTTATTAGGTCATCATACACCGGACTAAATTGCATAATTGAGTGCTCTATATAGTCATTTCAATTACAAGATTATACACTATGACATGAAAGGGAATAAAAAGGTTGTAAAATAAAAATAAGAAACTCTCGGTTCCTTAAGGATAAATCCTCGGTTTCATCCTTAAAGACTTTCTGAATTTTTCCTTTAGTTATAGGAGGCAAAATGTGTAGATCTCGAAACTCAATTTTAAATTAAGAACATTTACATTCAAAAAGTAGTTGCACAGATAAGAAAATTAAAAGCTGTCTCTCTTGGAAAAAAGAACAATAACTCAAAATAATGCAATGTAGTAATTTTTTTTCATAAACTGTTTTTTAGCTAAAACAATCATCATATAAATTATATGTTCGAAAATTTCTTTATTCTTAATTATTTAATCAGAAATACCGGGCACAATATGTAGAGCCAAAAACTATTTGTTAATTAAAAAAATGTTTTCATTCAATACTATGCAAATACGCATAATTGTACACATTTAAGTACGTAATTGCTAATACCAATTTTAAAAATTGCAATATTTTCCTCACATCATGTAAAATGGAAAGTTTTTTACTCATAAACTTGAACCAATGTTCTTCTAAAAACATATGATTCATAAATACTACAACTAGATCTTTTGTCGATTTTTTCATCACTGTTTGCTTATACTCATTCAAATTTTATAGAAAAATTTTTCGATGTGCGTATATTATTGTTCATAAAATTTTAATTTATATAATTTTTTTTCATATTTAGAAAACATTTCCTTGCTCAAAATTTTTATTTATATCTCAAAAACTTAAATTACATTCACACACGTTTTATTAATAACAAGTCGTCTCCGGCAGTCAGCTGGATCACCTTTTTAGAAAAGTAAAATTTTAGGTATTTCGAGATATAGATTCGAACAGTCAAAATTCAAGACAATAAGAAAGTATTATAAACTTATATTGTTTAAGTAAGAGTGAATTTAATTTTTGTCTCTTACATGCTCGTATGGAATCATGGTTATTGTGGTGTTTTAAAAATACGCTAATATATAAGAAAATAGCATAATACACATGTCAGCAAATGCTAACATATATAAAATAAATATGATAAAAAACAACTATGCTAATTATCTTTATAGTGCCATTGGT